AGAAAATTAACTCTATCCCAGCTGAAACCAGGACAGTATCATTTTAACTTTTCAATACATTAAGCCAGAAACAACTTCAAAATATTGTTGGATGAGATCTTTAAAATGGAGGTTAGAGAAATGTAAATTGCTATTTTTCTCAGGAATTATGAACTTCTAGCCATAATTTGAAGGTTTCCAACTTGGAGAACCTCCAATGTGTATATCAATTTGAGTTTAAACAGACATATAAAACTTAATTTGTATTGCACACACCTGGAAGCTATCGGTTAATGGTTAGCTTGAGTCACAAGAACAAAATATGCCAGTATTAATAATACTATATGTATGATTTCTCCTTTGATACCCCCTTCTTGTACTATGCAAATGAGAAACCCTCACTTCACTCTGACAGATAAATATAATTACTTTAAAAAGAAAGCAAATTTTCAGTGATCTAGTTAGTAAATAACAAGCAAATGTAGCCTGCCTTTCTATGACCTGCACCTATGACTCAAACCATTTCTATTTCATAAAAAAAAAGTAGATATGACGTCTTCCTTACTACCCATGCAGCTGATTTTCTGTGGTTCCTGTTAAACAGTCCATGTTTGTTTCTTTAGATTCACTTTTGCTTAAATTGTCTTTTGTTTTCTTTTTCCCCTTCCTTTGTCAGTCACGAGAAATGGCTTCACAAGTAAGTATTTGCTTATTGTCTGCCTGTTTCTGGGTGTTGTGGTTTAAGCCCAGTAGACAGTAAGCACTACACAGCTGCTCGCTCACTCATCCCCTGGTGGGATAGGAGGGAGAATCAGAAGAGTAAAAGTGAGACAACTTGGGAGTTGAGACAGAGATAGTTTAATAGGTAAAGCAAAAGCTGCGTGTGCAAGCAAAGCAAGTCAAGGAATACTCTCACTACTTCCCATCAACAGGCAGCTGTTCAGCCATCTCCAGGAAAGCAGCACTCCATCATGCACACTTGGGAAGACAAATGCCGTAACTCTCCAAGTCCCACCATTCCTTCATCTTCCTCCAGCTTTTATTGTTGAACACAGCACCATATGCCATGGGATATCCCTTTGGACAGTTGGGGTCAGCCGTCATGGCTCTGTCCCTTCCCAACTTCTTGTGCACCCCCAGCCTATTCAGCAGCAGGGCACTGTGAGAAGCAGAAAAGGCCTTGACACTGTGTAAGCACTGCTCAACACACGGATGTTTCAGTTATTGCTATCAACACCATTTTCATCACAAATCCTAAACATAGCCTCATGCAAGCTACTAGGAAGAAATTTAACCCTATCTCAGCCAAAAACAGTACACTGGGTTAAAACCTGGGAGTAAAATCCTTACAGGAAATGGAACTATGCAATGGATCATCCTTGAGTAAATAAAGCCTAAAGCAACATTGTTCTGGACACAAACATCTTATTAAAAGTCTGAAAGCTGACAGACTGGGACTTTCAAAAAAGCCCAGTGGAATTTGGTCCCTATTGGGCCTGTCCCTATTGAATTCTGAAGATAACAGATCATCTTTACAGTCTGGTGAAAGCCTTGATTCTAAACACCTTAAATGCCAATGGACAAAAATCCCCAAGTTTATCATAAATGGAATATGTGACTGTACTTAACAATGGTTCAGACAGCTGTTGGAGCAGAAAAGCATTCCTAGAACCCTAGATGCAGTTAAGTCTACTGGTATAAGGCAGTAAATAATAATAAGGCATTGCTTCAGAATAGAATATATGAATCTGCACATTAAAACTGTTTCATATTTTACACAGTTAGCTCCCAGGGAACAAATATCCAAGAAACTACTGATGTTTTGGTGTTGTATTGCTGTTGCCACCATACTCACAGCCACCCTGGTCATCTCAAATGAGAACACTAGTGCATTCATGAGTTTATTCCCATTCCTGCCATATGTTGGCCACCTGAGCTAGTGCTTAAATAAGGGTGTGAAACATCCTATTAGAGCACCTTGCCTGAGTGGAAAAACCTGTGGGTCACAGGTGTCCAACAGCACAAATGAGCAATCACACTCATTTGGGCACACAGTCTGATACTTGAGATGGGAACCTACCTTTTTAAAAAAAATTCCAAAACAAACAAAAAAAACCCCTGCAAAACTGAAACTTAAAAAAAAAAGCTTTAAAGGCAAATGTTTCTTCAATTTATGTGTGACATACAGATTTTTCCCCAGTAAAAGTAACAGTGATTATGTAATGACTTAACACACACCTTGGTATTTTCCAGATATTTCACCATGTTAAGGAATCTCAAAAAAAATTATACACTTCATAAAACATAAGATGATCAACTCCTACTATATAGTAGCAATGACACCATATCATCAGTTATGTTTGTCATACAGCAGGTTTACAAGCTATGTGAAAAGGAAATTAAATGAAAAGAAATTAAAGGAACCAAACCTCCAAATAAATGAATCATAGTTACAGAAGTATTTGTAAAGAAAGTTTGAGACAGATTAAAACAGAGGGTGGGGACACAGAAGTACTCCATGTTGGGCTTTTATCTTCTATGTATTAAACAGCTGCCACTGGCAGGCATGCTTTTGTGCTGCCTTTGAAAGAGGGTTTGGGTTTCTTTGATTTTGCTTTGTCTTTAAACAGTTTAATTTTTCTCTCCTGCATACAGGGAAGTGCCATTCTGCACACCTTTCTCAACAGGCACCATAAAAACTGAATAGTCACCTAAGTAAATATTTATCACCTTCATTTATGGGTTCAACTCACCTATCCCAGTGTTTCAAAAGTTCAAGCTAAGGATTTACAGATTCAGAATCAAAAGACTTGTTTTTTTACTTGGCCTCTCCTGACTAATCTCTGGATCAAAAAGATGTGACTTACCCTCCTGTAATAATTAGGATGATTGGTCTCTGCCTTTCTAATACTACTGCCAGCAAGTCCAGATGGTTGTTTTATCAAGAGCTGGACAAGGAAAGCTACCAATGCACAGGAAGAAAGGCAAAACATGACCATCCTTTACACTCAGTTTGTATCAGATTTGTTCACACCAAATAGACCCTTCCCATCCATAAGTAGCACCTTATTATATGGAATGTACTTTGCTTACCTTAATCCATACTGCAAAATACATGCAAAACTAAAATGTCAATTTAAAATAACAGGAAAGGACAAAAAACCCACCAGTGTTCCTGTATGCAGGGATTCAGGGTTCTCTCTTATGCCCTACCCAAAGTAACATCAGCCGAGTCAGTAACAAAACTTCAGAAGTCATGTAATTTAAAAAACAAACAAACAAAAAAAAACCCTGTCTGTTGCAGACTAAGCTGAAGACCCTTAATAAGTTAGTGGGTCTTTGCATGAGGCTTATTGCAAGATCCGAGTCTAGAATATTAAAAATATGATTTACTTGAAGTGCTACAACATAAGCATATTCCGTGTCCTTTTTAATTATTGGGTTTGACTGTTTTTTTAACATAGATAAAAGCTAGTCTGCACAAAAGGGGAAAAATTAGTATCTTTCTCACACTGTCAGACTTACTCATATCAAATAATATTTTATGGACTCCAGGAACCTTACAGATTCTGTGTGGGAGAGGGTGCTGAGACTCTTAAAGAAAGGTTTTATTCAACACTGATGAGGTCAACAGAATCTTGCTTTCAGATTTTATGTTAATGGGAAAAGGCCTTTAGAACCTCAGTAGTTCTTCGGTTAAGTTTGCTTTATTCACTGATCACTTCCAGCATATTGTGAACTCTTTCTGTTCTTGGGGAGTCATACAAACTGAGCCAGCTCCACTTTAAGTCATCGTTGTTTTATACTTCTGGGTTTTTTTTTTTATTTTAAACACTCATCACACTGAAATTGGTCACCAGTGACGTGGTAATATGACTGCACTGATACCATTGAGGGCTTCACTATTTCATTGTCAATAAAAGACATGTTTCAGAGATCACAACAATAACTTATAATCCTAAGGAAGTAGTTTAGAAACTAGAAACTAAAAGTATTAGTTAAATGTAAAACAGATATTAAAACAATTTTTAAGTTATCTTTTGAAATGTTTCCTCTTACATTCCCTATGATCTTTTGGTATATGTTAGAACTGTATATGTAGCCCATCCACTTGAGTTATTTCAATACTGCTGTATGCACATACTATTGGTCATACTTGAGTGGCATGAAGAAAACACAGTGGAGGGCCAGATTTTGGCCCTTAAGTATGCTTTTTTTTTTTTTGTTACTATACTAGTGAAAAAGCAACATCACTATGCTTTCAGTAGGAATTAATTGCCTCATTTGCAAGAGGTGCCCTGAATCACAATGAAGGCTACTGCATATGTCCCTATTTTCAGACACAGAGGCATTGCAGATGTTACTTGCTGGAAAGTCAAAAAGGCCTGGAAATTCAAAAATGCCTGGAAATTTGAAACACAGGTAACGGGCACATTCCACCTGTCATCTTGAAAGAGTACTCAAAACAGTGCAGCCAAAGCTGAACTATTACTTACTGAATCCACGACATACATCTAAAAAGCAGTTACAGAACTTGAATTTCTAAAAATATGCAGACTTGGAAGAAAGTGAAGTCGTCATTCAGAACAGATTCCTAGATTCAGGAAAGGCAGTATCAGAAGGCTAGAGTTATTCTTCTCAGAATCAAAATGGAATCAGGCTTAACTGCTTTTGCACTTGAGAAACGTATATCATAAATGAGCTTTTTACATAAAAAGTCAAAGTCTAGTAAAGGGTGCCCAATTCAGGAACACTTGCTAAGTACAAACAGCTGAAACCCTTCAGCTCCATTGCAACCAAAACACATGTTCAGCTGCACTGTTGAAAAGAGGAAAGAACATCTTGATCTGCTTCCAATTTTTTAAAGCCCATAATCTCTCTCATCATTTTCCTTTCAAGTCTCAGATCTCTATCAGTGTGGAAGAATGGGAAGACACTAAAGACACCAAAGAACAGATTAGTTATCGTAGCAGTCATCGTAACTCAACATCTAGTGATCAGTCTGATCATCCCTTGTTACGACGAAAAAGCATGCAGTGGGCCCGACGGCTGAGCAGGAGAGTACCAAGACACTCTGGTAAAACAGCTGAGAAGATAAACCAGCAGCGAATGAACCTTTACAGGAGGTCAGAAAGACAGGAGCTTGCTGAACTTGTGAAAAACAGAATGAAGCATCTGGGCCTTTCTCCAGCAGGATATGGTATGATTACTATAATACTTTAAATTAATAAAAACATTAGTATTACGCAAGATGAACTAATTTTTAAGAACTGAGGGTGCCATAAACAAAATATTAAGTTTATGACAATGGTTTTGGTGGGGTTTTTTTGTTTGGGTTTTTTGTTGTTGGTGGTGGGTTTTTGTTTTGTTTTGTTTTTTTTTTTCTTGGAGAAACTTGCTGGAGTGTTTTTAATCAGTTCTATTATCACCTATTCCTATTTTCAAATGGAAAGCTCAGAAGGCAGCATGTCAGTCACATTTACATTTAGCATGATATGTGTACACAGAATATATAAACATTCCCTGTCATTGAACAACTGCACCATATTTCCACAAACTTGTTGAAATATAGATGAAGACAGAACTGCCGTGAAGTTTACTCAGATGTCAAGGTGGAGAGTTGTTTATATGCAAAGGATATATCGGATTTTCCCCACAATTTTTAAAATTAATGCCAAAGTGTCACATTAAAGTCATTTTTATGAAGCATGTTTCACTAGGTCTTTAGATGCCATTTTTATCCATCAAGTCCTTCTCCTGCAAGGATGATGCTGGGTTGGTTTTTTTGTTTGTAGGTTTTTGTTTTGTGGGTTTCTTTGTTTGTTTTGGTTTTTTTAAAGTGATTGAGAAGAGCTCTCTAACACCCTTTTTAATATATGCACCACAGCTGCCTGGGTTGCCTTTCTATGGCCTTGGCTCTGTAGCATGTTGTGTGGAAACCCTCAGAACCATGCATTCTAGTTTTCCTAGAAACACCAAGAATTTCTAGATCCCAACTTATTTGTCTGCATGGTAGGTCCAGTAGGGAGCTTGGTGCTTTCTACTTCAGAAGCACCAACACTGAGGTTCCCATACTCAATTTTCATTTGAAGAATCCAAAATGTACTGTTACACAAATGTGTTGCTCTTCATTTTTCAACACAGTTATTTTAAAATTTGACTTATCCCTAAACTATCCATTAACTGAAGGTGAATGTGGTATTTCCTGCAGAACAGATATTTTTATTTGTCCCTTTTAACTACATGTATTCTTAATGCAGGGTCAAAACATCTTTTGATGCTAATAGCAATGTACTACCTGACAGTAGTTCTTATTGTTTCTATTGATACAAAATTGACTTAATTGTGAGAGAAGGCTGCTACAGAATACATGGCTATAGTTTTGCTGAATCTTTACAAACTGGGTATGTAAATACAAGCTCTTTATCCCACACTCCAACTGGGTAATTACTATTCCTGCTTTCTTTGTGGATACTAAATGACTCTCTGCAGGAAGATTCAGGACTAAATATTTTCCAGGAGTGACACAGGCCACAATAACATTTGATCAAGCACAAAGAAGTTTTGTAAGTTTGATTCATATTTATACAAGTAACAAGAAAACTTTGTTGTATTCCTGCTTTTATTTTAAAATCCTAGTTAAAAGCCAACAGCAAACGTTCATTTCATTATTTAAATTTAGGAAGATTATATACCATCTGCAGAACAGCAAAATCTTGACAGGTAAATGCTTCACCTGATTACATTTATCTGCCCTGATTCCAATTTATAAATTTTCATGATCGCTTACCTATTTTCTTGCAGATATGCCTCATTATAAAGAAAGCTTCTATTTTTACAACCCCAGGAACACCCACATTCTGGGGAAAAGGAACAAAACAAAAAACCCTCAAAGAACCACAAACCAGTTTTACACATGCAGTCAGCTGCAAATCTAGGTTGTCGCATTCCCACTGCCATCTCTCCACCCTCCCTCACATTCAGAAAGAAATTTCAGAAGCCTTTCACCCCCTTTCAGAGCTAGCTCACTCCCCCCCACTCATCCCACCACACGTTAAACATGGAATAGAAACTTGTAAATCTCCCTGTTCTTTCAAACTAGCAGGAATCAATCGTGCCAGTTAGCTTCCTGCAGAAGTTAAACATCCTCCTTAGTACAATCTCTCTGCATGTGTGGGGAACAATGAAAAAAAAAAACCACCAACCAAACAGGAAATAAAAATCACAGCTGGTTATGTATCGCCATGTATGGGGATGATCTCTAAAGCCAATTTCACATCTTCAGTGTCCTTTTTTACATTGTTAACTTAATAACCTTCAAGACCTCTAAATTTAAATTCAATTAACTGTGAATTCATTTAAGCCAACTGAGACACAACACAGTTTTGACTATGCAAGCCTCTAGCAGAGATGTGATGATGTTAGTATGGTGGTACAGGTGCTTGTATAACTAGTCGCAGTACTTTGCATCAGTTCCACCTTACAGAAATAAGCTGTATTGTAAAACACCATTTTAGCTGTATAACTGCACCTATACTAAGAGTGTGTGTGAGCTTATCTAATTGTTTTCTGGACAGAAGTACTTATGGTGGTGCAAATATGTGATACAAGCATGTAGAAAAATTACACATACTAGAAAATACCCAATACAGTAATTTTTAACATACAGACAGTATATCAAGAATACTTCATTAACAAAAGACTTAGGAACTGCATTGAAACTATAATGGGGCTGTTCTTTTTCAAATTGTTTTCCCTAAAATGCTGAACAGAGAGATTAACTCAGAAGATATGCCTCTCCTTTTTAGTCCTATCAAATTAAAATTAGTCTCACTGCGGCACCCCAGGAAGCATACTGCGGCACCCCAGGAAGCATACCAAGAGAAAGCTAAAAGAAAGATACTGCAATGACAGCTACAAAGGTCTTTTCCAACCTAAATGATTCTATGATTCTATGAAAAGTGTAGCGACACTCAGCTAGGCAAAAACCTTAAAAAAAAAAAAAAATATTTTCTGTCAGCCTTCATTTGCAACATACCATTAGAAGAATAGTCAAAAATGCAAGAAATAAATACTAATTTCCGTTTATACAGCATTCACATTTCAATCCACTGGCACAGGTGATAAAAGGAAAATGCTTACTAGATAAATCAGGAAAGGGAGAAAAAGGTTTATATTGACCAGATCTGGAAATGGATGAGAATGCCGTACACCTGCATTTAATCTTGCTTATGACTTGAACTCAATGCCAACTGAGGATGGAAGTCCCTACTTCCCACATACTAACAGAAGCCGCATGACAGGTTGGTAAATTACACTAAAATTGGGTTGCATTCAGAATTGCTATGACTGAAAAAAATTGCAAGAGAACATTTTTAGAACATTCAGAACGAAAATAGGGTATTTTGAGAGCTGATAACTCAAAAGATGCTATGTCAAATAGTTCCAATTCAAGTACAGTTGAAAAGAAGTTGCTAAACACATTTGAAATCACTTTGACACTTGACACTTTTTGACAACTCTATGAACCAAAGATGATCTTTTATGAAATTAGTTTGTCAGAAAGCATGCTTTTCAAAATTTGTTTGTAAATATAATTAATTTGGTATGGGTTATTTTTTTTTTTCCCTCCAGATGAAATGAATGATCATCAGAACACCCTTTCTTACATCCTGATCAATCCTTCTCCAGATACAAGATTAGAGCTGAACGATATAGTGTAAGTTAAAGCACTTTTAAAAACAAACAAAAAAAAAAATCACAAGACCTGCAAAGTTTCTTGTTTGCACTTTATACCTGAATTTATTTTATTATCTTTCTGCTGGAAAAGAACTCCAAACTTTCCCATGCACCTGCCAAAAATAAAAATATGGAGACTTCTATTTAAATAGACACCTAATTATACGTATATATGTATCAATTTAAAATACACATGTAAATATATAATACATATGTTAATAATACTCTTACCTCCATATTCTCTCATCCTCCTCTTACTCTGTGCATTTAAAAAAATAATCTAACCAAGCCTGTTGGATAGCTTCACAGAATTAATATTCTCATTAAATTCTTGATTATAATTTAGCTACCTGGTCTTAATAGAAAGATCAACCCTTCAAAAAATCAATGTTTTCAAATGGAATTCTATTACATGGATTCAAAGATCATTAAAGTAAACAGCGGTCTTTCCCTGAATATCATGTGATATTCATGCTTAAGATAATTCAAATACAAATGACAGAACCTTAACACAGGAAATTTTTTTCACTTGCTTACCAGGAATTTTGCAGACTACATAAAAAAGGAGAAAAAAGTGAACACAAATTTGAACTGTCAAGAAAGTTTTGAAAGTCAAGGATTTTTGTCTAGCATTGTCTCATACTGAAGTCTGATGCGATTCCTGTGTTAAGGTCTTGAGCCACTTCCTCCTCTAACCTCTCCTGCCCCTGCCTCGCTGTACTAACATGCCCCATCTGCTCCACAGGAAAGAAACCACATAGCCCAGTAGTGCAAGGTTCTCCACATCAGTGCTGACCCACCTCATTGCTTGCTCACAAGGAGCAGAGCTGTTTGAACTATTAGCCGTCATGATGCTAAAACAAAATCATCATAGTGCTTTGTAGTGCTGTAGTATATGAAAAGCGTAGTATAATATTCACTGTATCAAACAGGAAAGGCAATCCATATAAAATGTGTTGAAATTATTTGGAATACTATTCTCATTGTTGTGGAACTCCAGTGTGACGTGTACTAATATTTAACCTGTAAATTCACATACTGTTACCTAGTCTGTCTAGGTGGACTAGGTGTCCTGCATTCCATTTTTGTTTCTTTGCAAAAACAAAGGTACTCAGCAATCCAATACTGCATAATTTTGCAGTGGTACTGAATTTGTAGTGTGCTACCTAAACATATTTAACCTGTAAATGCACACATACTGTTACCTAGCTTGAGGTATGCTCATTTCCTAATGCTTAATGAGTGGGTCTGTATGTCAGCTTAAGCTCAGAACTGTTTTTTTCTTTTTTAAACCTGACACAAGGAACACGATCCTTGTATCTGGATAACAGTTAATGCTTTAATAACCCAGATTACTACCCTATCTGATTATAGTTCTCTTGACAAGGCAGCCAGTTCACCCTCATGCAATGCGGGATTATTAGTGGAGAGGCAAGGAAGAAGAGGTTGTCTCTTTCTACAGTTCTCTTAGTCACAAATCCCAGAGCAGGTAAAAAGCTTTTTCTATTTGTCCTTCCTGCTGACAAGATGGAAGGCTAGTCCTCCTATATTTTTTTTTCCTCACCTTCTCAATGTATTTTGCAGACTTCCTCCAGCTGGTTAGTCTTTCACCACACTTGTTAGCTGCACTTTTATGCCAACATGGCTTATCCTTATCCAAACCACATATTTCTGTGCACATCTATGATAAAGTGATGTTTTGGCTTCTAAGTCCTATAGATGCAACCTTCATTCTCTGATTTTCCAGGCTTATACAACTTTAAGTCTTTTACATTCACAATGATCCCGTTATATTTGTAATTTATCGTGGGTATATTAGGTGACATACAACCCTGAACCAGCATAGGAGGAAATTTTCTCAGCTTTTAGAGATAGATTGCACCCAAAGCAGCATTCGCAGCTGTTGCTTGCTCAAAAAGCTTTCTTGTTAGTCTTTGCATTTGTTAGCCTTGCAAGCTAGTGTTTAGTATCTTGACCTGATGGAGCTTAAAGGACAGTGGTCTCACTGTCCTCATTGAACAGTAAAAACAAAAACACTTACATTTCAAGTGATGTGTTCAGACTTTGCCTTAATAACTCCGTATTTCATCTAGCCTGTTTGCCTTAAGAAGCAGGTACTGAATAGAGGTGTTTTCATTCTATAGCCATGAGATTTTTGTACCAAAACATTTAATATTTTGACTCTAAGCAGTGCATGATGTTCTTTTTCTCTATCAAAGTTTAGTACTTGCAAATGGATCTTGCAGTAACACTCCTTGTTCTATTTCATTCCAGAATTAGGACAATACATTCTGTTGCTAGCACTGACCCACTCCTTATTTAAAAAAACAAAACAAAAAATCACCAAAAACACCACCACACATACCACAAAACAAAACAAAAAAACCCAAACTAAGAAACAAAACACCACAAACCCCCAAAACAAACAAAACCAAAACCCCACTACTGGCTGTTTGTTCCTTTGACATGTTTTGGGTTTTTTTTTCCTGGAAGCTAAGAGTCTCCTTATTTGCTTCGGGATTGGTGTTGATGATGCCCTATAAAAACATCAAATTCAAAGTTTCAGTTTCAGTTCCAAGAGTTGCAACTGGGAGTTCCAATTTTCAGCAATCTGCAGTAACATCCAAAGATCACACATAGGAATTGCTTATGCAGTACTGCTCCAGACATGCTTAAGGGAAGAAGGTGACCACTGGGATTGGGCAGCTGTGACATCAAGCCAGTTATAAACCCTCAAGGCTCTAGTCATATACTCAGGCTTCTTACAATTTTATCAAGGTTTATCATTGTAACAGTCTTGTTCATTTTTACTTAAGGGATGCTGTGATTTACTTATTACAGAATTATTTGTGACGTAGGACTTGTGAATTACATATTTCAAGTACAAGTCTTTAGTTTAAAAAAAAAGGGGGGGGGGGGAATACAGAAATACCTGAATTTTCCCCTCAAATCTAAGAAAACTTATTCCTAACAAGAAAAAAATCAGGCAAGAAAAGTAAGATTTTTTCATGTGTTTAAGCATGCTTCATTTAGATTTGGTGAACAGAATAGAGCACTCTTCCACTACTCCTCAGTTTCATTGGCTGGATCCGCAAAATGCATAGGTTGTTTTGGAGTAAACGTAAATATCGGTTATTATAAATAGAGGGCAATAAGTCTGACTTTAAACAAATAAATACAGTGAGAACATGATCTAGATAGGAACAGTACAAGTAGATTTTTTTTTTAATCCCATATTTAAGTCAACTGTTTTCTTACACAAGCAAGTTCAAGCTATTTGTAGCAACAAACTCGATGAGAGAGAGAAAACACTGCTATTCTATTTTAGCCCTGACAGAAGGAGAAACATTAGAAAAAGTGACAGAAGCAGGTGGTGTTTCCAAGACATGGAGATCAGGCCATTCTCTTGGGTATCCACCATAAAACCAATGGCCCATGGACTCAGAAGCCCATGCTTTGAGGAGCCAGGAATGGTCTGTTACTACGCGAGCTGAAAACAGATGCAGTAGTTCTGTGGGAACTATGACAGTGATTGCTCATACCCTACAGAACATGTTACTTCAGTTAATCAGGATTTGCCATTTTGCATTTTGTTGAAGAATTTTTCAGGGTGTTTTAATTAAGTCTGGAGCAAAACATACTCATTATACCAAATGGTAGAAGTTCATGGCCTGTAAAAACGAAAACTTTCTTCAGGGCCACTGCAAAGTAATACAGTAGATCTTTGTAAGCACCACACAGCATGCACCTGATCTCTATTTGGGTATTTAAGCATTTTCATTTGGCTGATGAGGAGATGGACAGACATGTGGCGCCAATATTTCTGAACATATGACAGAAAGGATTTTCACATTTCCTTTTCCTGCATTTCATTTTTCTTTCTTTGAAAAAAAAAAAAAAAACCAAACCAAACCAACCAACCAAAAAAAACCCCCAAAAAACAAAAGACCACCCAGTCAAAAGCAGGATTTGAAATAAAATTTCCAGTGGTTTCAAGAGTACTGCTCATCTTTGGACAAGTTTAAGATGCTGGGATTGAATATAGTTATCTGTCTTCTCTTTAGGAGCGCAGTGGCACTGGAAAGCACTGACTGAAAGTTCAGAACACTGCAATGTTAGTTCTGCAGCAGCACAAAGCTGCTACTGTGTCAATCCAAAAAGCTGTCTCAGATCAGATAGTTTGTCACTTGAGACAGCTGACAAAACAGTGCAGAATTTACACTTACAAATTAATGGGAAGCTCTTCCATCCTTACCCTAAGAAAAGCAGTTATTTTAAACATCTCAAACTTAGATTCAAACTCATGAGGCATTTTTCTCGAGTATTTGGATCTACTAGAAGTTCCTAGAATAAGGGTCCATCTCCAGACTGTCAGCCTACACCAAGATTATCAACATCAGGCTTTTTATTTATTGAGCACAGTGACAAGAATTATCCATTGTTTTCTCACAAAATTCTTTTAGAAATGACTCTGTGGACTGGTTGTCCCTTTAAGGCATAATGAATAAAGGAGATGCATAAAGAAATACGGAGTTACTTGGCAAAGGAGCTGTTAGTCAAAATTAAGGTTTAGCTGTGCCTAATACGTATAGATAACATCTAAGCAGACAAAACATGAAAAGCTTTATTATTAGCATCTAAAGTGAGTGGTGTTACCCAAGTGTCCAAGTTACCTAACAGACCAAGCACCTTCAAAATAAGTCTCCAAGTCTTCCTCAGATGTTTTCAACATTAAAACTATATGCACTTATTTTATCTTTGCTTGTGCCAAGTCTTTGTAATAAGAGTTGTAATTTCTTTTTATAGATACTTGATCCGACCTGATCCATTGGCTTATGTTCCAAATACTGCACCCATCCGAAAAGACAGCTTCTGCAATGCAGTGGGACAAGACACCAGGGAGGAAACACAGCTTTGATATGTAACTCATCACAAAATTAAGAGACAATTTTATACACATGTTGTTTCCACTAAACATTTTGAAAACTGAGTGATACATTTTATTCAGATTTTGGAAACAAAATGACAGTGGATAAGTGACCAAATTTCGAAGTGTGGTGTCTAGAAACTCTGATTTAAGGGATTGTCAGGCTTGTGGCCCATTCAATATGGTAGTTGAACTTTGTCAGCTTAACAGAATTGTGATACCTATAACTATTTAACCAATATGAACAAATGATTTAAAAAGTGACAGATTCCATCATGTGGTTTGCTTAGATGCTTCTAAGCGTATTTATCAAAGTGACAGCATGTCAGTGACTAAGCTTCTGACCTACATCAGTAAAGATTATCTGATGCCTGTAGAGAGACCATGCATAATTTGTAGTAGAAAATATGTTAATACCTAAAGGTGCCAACGAGGCTTTGCATGTCAAGAATCCAGCCTTTGAGAAAATTTTCAATCTCGGCCTGTCACCCATTTGTATTAGAACAGGCTGGTTTCAGTCCCCTTTTAGCCTCCAGGACTTGAGTTTTAGTTCTCTGGGTTTACACAGATCAGGTTGTAATGACACAGCCTCATCACACCATAGAGGTTGATATCTGAGGCATATCCACTACATGATTAGCTCAGAGGAGGACAGTCCCTATCATCTCACACAGGCAGCCCCCCACATGCAAAAACTGGGAAGGTACTATCTGTGTGAAGCCGCAAACAATGGTAGCTCAGGTGAAATACAAGCCTTTTAACCTTAGTGAATTTGTCAACAGAAGCCTGAATAGGTTATGACACAAAAATGAGAGCATCCCTTTAGGGAGCGATTCATACCACAAGTCCTTCCCATTCCCATGAGCATGCCAGAACTACAACTGTCCAAAGTATGTACACGCCCAGTCATTCAGATTACTCAAATGTATTACATTTTCATATGAAATTATGTATTACATTGAAAATTAAAGAAATTTATAACCCATTCCATAAAAGAAATGTAATGCCACGTTACACGAAAAAGCACCACGGATTTGAAGACTCCGTTTTGGCATTAAGTACACAAGAAAGCATCTGCTAGCGTATGAAACATCTGAAGCTGCTACAGAATCTCTAGTCTACGCATACAAGAATGCCACAATTAGTCAAGCTTTCTATGGAATTAAGCATGCCTGTACATGATCTTCCAAAAATCACATTCTTGCTTTGCCATCTGTCACAAAGAGGGAAGAGCATGCTAAAGGTAAAAAACCCTACTGTTACAATTATCTATATAGAACTGGTACAAGAAATTTGGCAGGTACCTACAATGAAAGAGCTGATTTTTCTTTGAATTCCCTTGATGTCCTACATGTACAAAAATTCAGTCAAAATTGTTTATATTCTCTTCTATATTATTTGGTAGAACAACTGCAAGTATTTTATTTTTCAGAAATAAATAAGTTGCCCAGTGAACAACTCATGGATGTGAGTGTGCTTATCAGCTTTGTAAGGATGTTGAAATCAAGTCACATTCATATTAGGAATGACAACAGTTCTGCTATTACTCCTCCCTCTTAATTCTTCCAAAACCTAACTAATCTGTTCCATGTTAAGTCAGAAATCCTAAAGCCACAATTATAAAAAACCCACAAAGATCTCAGAGTGGCCTGAAGCCATCAGAAAACCAAGGTACTCTTGGTTTTAAAAGGAAAAAGGATAACTGGAAAGTAGGGTTTCTCAGCAATTCTTTTTATATTGACATATTAAAGTAGCATCATGGTTCAGAAGGGTTTCGGTGATTCTGCAATAGAGTGCATTATTGTTCAGTGTTTTTCCACACACACTAGTCATTTATCAAATTATTCACAGGTAAAGACAAAGTGTTTCAAATGTTCTCTCTGGCTACTGTGGAAAAGAAAAAAAAGCAATACAAACAGCTGTGCAGACCGAAGTCTACAGTTTTTTAAAAAACAGTATATGGTACAGGATCTTGTCCAAGACCTTCATAGAAGTTATCCCAAAAAAGATTGCATGTGCAGCATGAATAACTTCCTATTTAATGCTTTCAGTGAGAAGACTGTATTCCAGTTGAATATTTTCAAAAACATACAAGTTTCTTAAAAGTGTTCACTCCAAAATATTAGGAGGATCCTTTGTTTCATACTGAAGGCCTTTCTAACAGAGTCTCAAGTAGGCAGACAGGATTCCAGAAACATGCCTACCCTTCAGCTGGCAAGCTAGATACTCTGCTTTCAGTGCAATTCACGCACTGTTCACAGGCATTCCCTGTACACTGCCTGTAGTACCCACCACAGATTTAAGGACTCTCTGCCACAAGGATCTGTAGCTAGGACTTGATGTCTTGCATTTAACAGCCTATAAAGCAGTAGAAACAAGCAGTCAGGTGTATCCATTTTCCCACCCAACTCAGCAGAATTGCTGCTCAGCTAGGGTTGAATAGTAGCATGGAATGTGACCTGGTATTTCTCCAGGCTTAATGAATTTCTAATTGCTCATTAGCCCCAGAAGATTTGCTAAGCAAACACAAAGACAGCTGGAGACACTTGCAATCTCTAAAATGAATGAAAGGCAATCTTTCTGTACAAAATACTTAGTTCTCTTCAGGATCTGCTGGAAGACAAGCAAGGTAATAAAAACTTAACAGCGGCTTCTTATGAAGCAGAAGTTCTAATAACCCATGAATAATATACCAAAGTTCTGTTATTCAAAACAGACTGCCTTTCATGTTGAAAGCAGAACAGCTTTGCTCACTCTGGCATATCTTTACAGACAGACCCCATTCTAGTGGGATTTAGACCTTTCAAGAACCATCCTAAGCACCCCTTCATTAACACTGAATGAGACAGTGCGCATATGTCTTTGGTAGCCAGTGAGGTGATTCTTTAATGGCAGGCAATGTTACGTTCACATGCTTTCTTCTCATCGTTATTTTCAGAAACATAATACAAGTCTAGCTGGACTGGAGACCAGATTGAGGAACAGTAATCTCTATGCTTGGTGCTGGAGAAGAATGATGAATTTCTGGAATCAGCAGGTCCAAATGACTGTTGAACAGAGGACTTTGGTCTGGTCTTAGTTCACTCAGTAGACAGAGAAATTTAGAGCTACGATCAATGACATAAGCAAGAAATTTAATCCTAAACCAGGTGTCAAAGGTCAGATAGCCAGATAACATATATTTGTTTCTCTCAATGAAAAAAAAAAAAAAAACCACCCCACACACGATTATTTCAATCTGTGCTTAACTGTATGTATTTTTTCTTCCTGACTCACTTCTACCAATAACTCAGAGATGCCCATCTTCCCCAACACTACCTTAACACATACCAAGCAATTTGGTACACAATGTCACAATCCCAGCAAAGAAAGTGATAGCAGATGATAATTACTTCATTCTCACAAGGGAGTTCTCCAGCAAAGCAAGACCTACCTATGAAAACATGTTACCTCATCTGCAATAAAAATTCACAAAAAGTGTATCAGTGGAATGCAGTGTGCCCCGTTAACTATTTCACTCCAGTTCCAGAACATAAATTAATTCACATACAAAGTAGAAAGCATACAGCTTGAGTTTTTAAGACCTGCAGTGGAATGAGTTGGTGAAGTTTTCATGACATTTAGACTTGGAAAAGAACTTATTTCCCAGCATACATATTTCCACTCCCACAAACAGCTTCCTACTACAACTACTCTTTGACAACTTTAAAGTATACAAGTATATATATTACTGAGCATTTCTTATACATCTTTGTTTACCAATGCACCAATAAAATGCTAAAGAACAAATAAATTTCAGGCTTCAGCAGTGGAGGAAAACTGAAATGACATCAAGTGCACCAGAAGTAACACACAATTCTGTAGTTTCCAGGCAGCTAGGGCTGACAGCAACTGTTCTGTAATTTTGGAGCACTGATGCATGAGGTTTTGCTGCATTGAATTCCACTTGATATCTGAGGGAAATCAGTCACTACAATCTGGAAATGAATTAATAAAAAAGCAGCACCGTGTAGTGACATCAAGTTGTACAAGGTTATAAAAAAATACTTTTTCAAGGCAGTGATATAAATGCAGAATTGTAAAATAAAGCAATCTGCACAAAATATTGTTGCATATTCTTGATATTATATTAGAAACAACCCACCACACTTTGAAACAAACATACATTGAATAGATGTCTAAAGAGCTGCCCTTCAAATTTTCAGCCACTGTTCCTTGTGCTTGATGCAGAATATGCATTGCAGGGAGACAGGAAAAGAGTTATTAATTCTTATTAAGTTATGAGATATGACCAAGACTTTTCTTATATTAATGATGATTGTATTATATACTTCATTATTGCCTACACTACTAATGCAAGAATGCTGTCAGTAATGGTAATTCAACACAAGCATAAACTCCCACAGCCTCTCAAGAAGTTTAAAAAGGCAAATATTTCTGCTTTATAAAGTTAAAAACAAGCATTTGACATTTCTATGAGCTACAGTTTTCTATTTGTTCTATAAAATCTAGACTGTATACTGTTACGAAAATTTGCAACTGGCCCATGCCAGCCGAGGAAAGAGGCTGGGACACAAAGCATAGAATTAAGAGAGTAAATACTTATTCATGTGCATGATGTCTCCCAGCCAAATTGGGGCACCCCAAATGTGGTTCTACATAGGGCTCATACCTTTAAAGCATTCAGGTACAACATGATTTGACTGGTCACCAACACCCACACTACCGATTAGTAATAATAGTAAAACTTCTATAGATCATTTCCTATTTCTTCTTTTGTCCTTTCGCCAGTATGGGCTGGCTGAGGAATGATTGCTACTTTCTTTGGCAACTGTGTAGCAATTAAATGGGCTCCAGCTGCGACAGGGGAGATTTAGATTGGATATTAGGAAAAATTTCTTCACGGAAAGGGTAGTCAAGCATTGGAACAGGCTGCCCAGAGAGGTGGTGGAGTCACCATGCCTGGAAGTGTTCAAAAAATGGGTAGACATGGTACTCTGGGACATGGTTTAGTGGGCATAGTGGTGTTGGGTTGATGATTGGACTGATGATCTTAGAGGTCCTTTCCAACCTTAATGATTCCTAGTTTTTACTTTCATTATAAATAATCCAGCCACCAAGCCAGGAAACATGAAATTGCTACTCTACCCTTAATTGGTTTAGTGGTGGACTTGGTAATGTTAGGTTAATGGTTGGACTGGATGATCTTAAAGGTCTTTTTGAACCTAAACAATTCTATGATATAATGGTTAGGGAAAGGTATTTTTGTAACATTATCTTTTTAGCACTATAAACCAGGATGGTTCTCTAGACTTATGTTTCCTCAGATAAAGAAATAATGGCCAAGACACTTGTTCTTGTTCCATTCCTCC